TGGGGAATTCTGGGAGTTGAAGTCCACCCATCTTAAAGTGGCCAAGGTTGAGAAACATTGGTCTAAAAGGAAGGAAAAAGGGTTCTCCAAAAAGTTTTAAGTACTCCAGCACATAATACTGCAAACATATGTTTTGTTTTGCATTCCGTGCTTGTGTTTATTATGTATGTAAGTCCAAAGTGTGGGAAATCTGGTGCTCTAGTTAAGTTTTCTTTGTTTTGACCTCTTTTCAGTGCAAATAACACTTTTAGAGCAACCTGCAATTTCTTTTATCCTTCCCTGCCTTATAGGGCTTACATTTTATCAAATATGTTTGGCCTTGGTGTCATCAAAGACACGCCACATTGCTTCACTGTTTTCATCCTTAACTTTTGAAAATATAATAAAAGTCTCTAGAAGGAAGACATGAACACACTTTTGAGATATGTAAATCATTGATCTTTGGTCAAAAACTGTCCAAGAGTTTTAAACTGCCAGTGATATGCATGAGGCTAGAATTCTTTTTATTCTTTTTTATTTGCAACAATCTAATGGATTTATCCAACCTAGTAATATAGCAATTTAAATTCCAGGAAAAGAAGGCTTTGCATGTAGGTCAATGCTAGAGTGCATGCTTTGCATGCAGAAAGGCCAACATCAACAAATAGGGATGAAAAAGTCACCTCTTTAAAACTCCCGAGAGATCCTGCTACTTGTTGTCAAAAGCACTGAGCCAGGTGGACCAGTGGACTAACTCAAGAAAAGACAATGTCTTAAGCTTCTGGGAAACAAATCTATTTTTCATACAATCTGGGGTGGAGGGAGCCCTAGTTTCAGCTCCTCCAGCAAGCTTTATTAATCAAACATTTAATGATTTAACTCTCTCAGAATCTTGCTAGAGTAGTTCTGTAGATTTTATATATACCCTTTAATTGACATCACCCAAAACATTATGCAGAATTAATGTTAGCATACTGTACCACACAGCCATCTTATTTTTAATATTTGCTATATTATTAAAATATTTTGCAGAACAGTGAGCTGATTCCACCACAAGAAAGGCTGGATTTTGCAACCTCTTTTAATAATACATTGAAGAGCAATGATTTCATACTTTATAATAAACCAGGCCATTGATTTCTTTAACTCAGTTTTGACTACTCTGGCTGGTAGCAGTTCTCCAAGATCTCAGGCAAACATCTTTTTACCTCCTGTTCTTGGTATTTTTTAACTTGAATGGGAAAAAAAATTCTAATGTGGGCTGTAAGTTCCCCATTCCTGCCTATGGAAATAAAAGTGTTGCCTTCTGTATGTAAAACATGTTCTACCATGCAATTCTGCCCAAGCACTTTGGCTAGTTATGGGGTTGGACAAAATTACACCAGACCCTGACCAGATTGGCTTCATAGCGGTTTTAACTACTTATTGCCTGTGGTCAGAGGTGTCTTCAGGGGAGGTAAAAAAAATCAAGATAGTAGTTTCAGCCACCATTATAACTTATTTTACCTTCCTGGTGGGTACCCCTGATCTATGGGTTTTCATTAGCCATACAGGTTAGAAAGTTATCATTATACATAAACATTCATACAAATGAGCCTGTGTCTGTAGAGGCATAGTAACTTCTCCTGTTATAGAACTTTAGTGGCCAACAATTGTCCCTATAGATATCTAGACAGGCATGCAGAGAACAGAACTTTGCATTTCCACTCTAGCGGCAGTGGAGAAACCGCTATCTATTCCTCAACTCAACTGGTGACCACGTCAAGAACTATAATTTGTTTATATTTGGAGGATATGCATGCTGTCTTAATATGACATAACTGTCATCCAACCATCGTTGGGCCAATGGCCACCATCTTTCCATTGCCAATGAAATGATAGCAATGTCTCCTCATTTCTGAAATATTCTCTCAACTTAACCTGTCGTTGTATAGGACATAATATCTTTTGTTTGCCATGTGGATCATCAAAGATCTATTTAAAACATCACTGTGTTTCAACCAGTAACCATCCAAATGCCTTTGGAGACCATGAATGTGGTTTTCCCTTATTGTCTGCCCCTGCCATTGAGTACTCATATGGAATTGAGTATATGGGGATTCTTGGTTATTGACAGAATTAGTTGCTCAATTATTTAGTTACTGAGTTATTGACAGAGCATAAAAGAACCTGGAAGATCAGATTAAAGCTGCTTTAGTCCAGCCTCTGTCATTCTCCAGCAACTGATGCACTCAGAGTTATGTTGCCTCTGATCCTAGAGGTCATCATATCTACCAGATGCTGATAACCAGTTTCCATGAATTAATCCAGTCTCTTGTAAAGCCATCTCAGTGGCCATCACCTCATTTCTTGTTGGAAGTTTTTTAGCTTAGCTTTGCCCCAAATTGGTCAAATTCTGTAGTTTAACTTTAGACTCTGAATTGTCCACAAGTTCAAATTCATTGGATGAATTCTAATATATAAGAAGAAAAGGGGACAATGTATGAGCATTATGCATTATTAGATCCATTTCCATCAATTCTCTCTTTACTTGCTCTCTACTTTAAAAAGCCTCAAATATAGTCATCTTTCCATACAGGTGAGATCATCCAGCCCCCTCATCATTTAGACTAGGTTTTTCTTGCTCCACAATTGCATTTAATTCTCTTTAAGAATAATCAAAATACAGTTTCTATCCTCAAGGCTCGAGGCACTCAGTTATGCAATTCTGCTGAGGCAGGGACTCAGCTATCTTTCCATTCATTCTGCACTTGCTGAACTCCTATACTTTGGCCTGTCTTTGGGGAAGATTGCAGCAAGTAAAACATTTTCAACAGAGTTAAGATAGGACTACATTAGTACGCTTATCACTGGCTTTGCTAATATTATAATGAAATCTATGTTTGGTACAAATTTCAGTACAATCTGTACTCTGTTACATTTTCGTCCCCTGTAAAAGGGGTTTCTCTTGTATATCATATTCCTCCTCCAACCCTAACTCCTTATGTGTGGAGCTCCTCTTTTTTCACCTTATTCTCAAGATGCTTTTGATCAGGGGCATTGGGGAGAGGCGGTTAAAAAAGTCAGGATGTACATTACATAAAAAGAAAGGCAGGGTTTGATCATACAACCATGGCTACCATTTTGCAGATATTGACCCCTTACTGCAGACCCCATGCTGTCACACACAAACTATGGGACACAAAACATATCTGGCTGGTGAGTGATGAGAAAAAAGTTGTCCAGATCATGTGCTTCGGTTGAGGGCATCTGATCACCAGTCCATTAGATTCTGTTTCCTAAGTTCCTTCCATCCACCCACATCCTTTTTTGACACCAACTTTTCTCCAGGCTTCCAGCAAGGTAAAGAGAAGGAAGCAGAGTTTCACTCTGTTATTTGGGAAAGACACAGATTTGTTTATGCTTATTTGCCGGTTTTCCAAGAGCAGGAATTGCCCACTTTTAGTTGTCCTGTTTTATAGGATCTAGGTCAGTGTTTCTCAACCTTAACAACTCTAAGATGTGTGGACCAACTCCTAGAATTCCCCAGTGAGCCATGCTGGCTGAGGAATTCTGGGAGTTGAAGTCAACACATCTTAGAGTTGCCAAGGCTGAGAAACAGTGATCTAAGTAGTTACCCAATCCTCTTCTTTGAGGTTGTTTTCTGCCCTGGTGCCTTCCTGCAGGCGGGGTGTTCACAGGGAATGATCAAAACTCCACCCATGCAATACATATAAAAAACAAATGGAGCTTCAGTTGCACCATTGTGGCTGCCATCTTGACTTCTTTGACCACACCCATTGGGTTTCTTTATTTGATGTGCTTTTAAACTCAGGATATTAAGGCATCCCTGACAGAGGGCTCTCCAATCCCTGCTTGAATAGCCCCAACAAAGGAGAGTTAGCTCCCCACTTTTCAGGTAATTGGTGCCACTGTCAGACTGCTAGGTTTTTCCTATCATTTGACTGGAATCTGCCTTGCTGTAACTGAAAACCATATTCCTTATCCTCTACTCTGGAGAATAAATAGGTCTTGATCTTCTTCCATTTGATCTCCTTCCCCATTCCTCCTTTCCATCTTGTCTCAGAGACCACCTGTTGTGTGTGTCTGCTCAGCATATTTCCTTCAGGTTCATGGACATTTCTGTCCATCACCTGTGTTGAAAAAGGACACAGCTAAGAGTCCACTTGATTTTTGCATGTGGAATGTGAGAGGGTAGCAGCTTGATCTGTGCCTCAGGTAGAAAAATATTTGGGACCAGTTTTGTAGGAAATGAGTGATGGTACCTACCCTTGGAAAGAAGGAAATACTTGAATCTACTGAGTCTAGATTGGAAGATGAGAGAGCAACTTGGTTGCCTGAAACCAAAGCAAGATTGGAAGAAATATCCAAAGCAGTGCACCTCTAATCCTTCCCCCAAGCCAAATTAAAATATTCCCATTCATACTGATATGGGAACCATGAGATGTGAACAGAATGCAAACATTGCCTTGGCTGCTCTTGAATTGCTCTTGAGTCCTGTTCCTTTCTTCCACTCTGAAGGAGAATCCAAAGGCTAGAAAATCCACCCAGGGTAAGCCTCCAGTTCACAGCCAACAGGCAGTTACTGTGACAACAAAACCTGCTTTTCTAAATATTACACACAAGTGCCCTCAGTCTCAGCTGCTGCAACCATCTGCCGTGTGTGCTCAGCCTTTCACTTGTGCTGAGAAATGACGACAGGTCCCCCCCCCCGCCGCCGCAGGACTAGAACTGGGCCAAAGGTTGGTCAAGCCAAGGCATTTCGTAAACTGGACTGAAAAAAAAAACACTGGAAAGGCAAAAGGTCTGAAGAGCATCTACTTCAAGCACTCATTAATCGAGCCAGTTAAATGATAAACCTTTTGTGACTACTGTTTGTTGGGTGTTTCGGGGGATGTCCATCCTTGGCAAGATGTCAGAAGATACGTCTTCCTGGGGTGATTTAAGACACAAGCCTCCTTTACCTTGATTGGTGAGACGGACTGTAAGCAAGACAGAGTATTTAAGGAAGGAAAACCAGAAGTCCCAGGAAGAATTTTAGTAAGCAGCACCATACTCCCTGAAAGGACCAACTAAATCTTCTCCAAAGCTAAAAACAAAAACTGCTCTGGTAAAGTAAGTATTTACAAATATAGCATCTGCATGCATTTTATTTTGATTTTAAAAAATGATTCAGTTCTTTGTGGTTCCTTATATTGCTTAGTCTGAAAAAAAATGCTTCTTTTTGAGAAAAGTTGTAACTCAGTGGTAGAACACATGCCACGCAAAAAGTCCTGTTGTTTCTATTCCTGCCTTTTCTTCCTGGTGTTTTCAGTGTGGGACACTGCTAGTACAGGTAAGGATCACTAACATGGTTTTCTCCAGATTTGTTGGATTCCAGTACCCATCAGTTCTAAATGGCCAAGGACTGAAGGAGATAGCTTCCAGACATGTGGAGGGTAACAAGTTGTTCATCCATTGATGTAGACAGTACATCCAGTTGTTTCACTCAGTTCTGTTGAAGGCAGTATACGTTCTTATCACTGTGTTTTTTGCTAACAATTGCAAATTTTAATGTAATAGAGGCAGCACATTATCTTTTTTCTCTAATTTGCAGTTCATATCACAGGCTACATATTATCATCATCACTTGCAAAGAACAGGCAATGCCACCCGAAGTGCAAACACGAATGAACGCTACTCCAAAAGTGGTCCAAGGGGATCTGAAGAGCCTGGTACCTGATGTGAGAAACTTCATTGAAAGCAATGCCAAGCTGTGCCAGCCAAAGGCCATCCACATCTGTGATGGCTCAGAGGATGAGAACAAAAAGATCTTGGAGCTCATGGTGGAACAAGGCATGATCAAGAAGCTTAGAAAATATGAAAATTGGTAAGGAACAAGTATTGTTTGCTAGTGCGAAGCCAAATACATGATCCACTGAACAATGGCCCCTCCCTTAGGGCCTTCCCTAACTTGTACTTAGCCATGGTGCAAACATGGGCTGGAAATAACTTTTCTCTCCTGTGTGTTTTCCCCCTTACTCCAACATTGTCCAAAAGTACCCTGAAAGTGCGTGCAAGACCTGTTAGAGGGACATCTAGAGACTTTAGTGACCAGGAACAGAGGCAAGAGAGACAAGAGAGAGATCAGCTATGGGGCAGCAAATTTCCTGCCAGAATAAATCAAGGAGGGGTGGAGAGCAGTTCAGCTTAGCAGTGGGGAACTGTCCATAAGTAGCGAGTGTGTTACTGCCATTAATTTAATGTATCTTCTGGATAGTTCAATGCAGGGAAGAACAAAGACTCAGGTTCCCTTTCTTTTTTCTGTGTTATTCCAATATAGAACTGCCACTCTTTAATGGATGTGCCATATTTTTAGTGGCTATGTAGCTATCAGAATATCAATAGATAAAGATTTTCCCATTATTGAATGTCTTTACTGGGGAAAACTTCAGACAGCAATATCTTTCAAAATCATGATTTTCCTTCTAAAAATACCACCTTTCTCTGTCACTTTGCAGTCATTCCGATTTTTAATTTTTGAGATCTATCCTCTTTGTGTGGGAAAGATGAAATAAAATCAAGTAATACATTAAATCTTCATATGCAGAGCAAATGTAACATTATTTAAGCCACGGGGGTTCGGAAGCACATTTCTGGTCTGATGAAACAGCCATATGTTCTTTAAGGAAAACAAACCTCTAGAAATTGGTATGTAGAGTGCTGACTGGCGCTCCCCTATTCCAAACCTCCAGGGAGAAATTTTATAAATTTATTATTTTTCAACTGCTTAAAAGAATAATTACACAAGCAACACATCAAGAACGCAAAATAAAACAGGCATCTTAGCTGGAACGTAGAGGAATAAGCGAGCAAGAGAGTTATCTCAAGTTCAGTTTCCTGGTTCACTGAAACTTTGATTTTCTAGGACTTAATGCCACAGACCTCTTATGCCACAGATCAAATTCCATTGCAATTTATGCCATTTGGATAGTTATGCCAATTTGCGATTAGCACAAATTATGCAATCACACACATAATGTAAATTGACACAAGTGGCATAGTTCGCATCTTTGGCTTTGCTGCCATGATGGACTTTTTGATTTACCAAACTTGGCGAAAAAATGGAACCTTCTTCCCTACAATTAGATATTTAAATAAGCTTTCATTGTATGCCTCATTTATACAGGGTGTCCCAAAAGTCTGAGTGCAGATCTAAAAAAAATCTACCGGAGCTTGGCCACACTATTCTTATAGATTATGCAACCCTAAAATGCTTCTTAAAGTTTTGTTTATTTTTTTAGGAGTCAAGGTTGAGATTGTAACATAAGAGGGAAACATGTTCATGTTTTCCTTCCTATCATAAGCAAGCAGCAACTCCTGAAAGTCAGGAGGAATGCAGGAAGGAAAAAAAAACCACGATCTCCACTCTCAGGGAAATGCAGCCCCAATTCTCATCTCTTCTCATTATCGGCTATAAGACGAGGCAGCAGCTTCCTAAGACTTATGGGTAGCATCCTGCATAGAGTGGTTATCTATGTACAATTTGAGATTCCACATCCCTTGTTTGAAGTTTAGTAAGTTAAAATGTAGCATGTACTAAGCATGTTGCTGAAAAATAAGTGATTTAGGTCTGTTCTTAAGATGAAGAGAACCTCACAGGGACGTGGCAAAGAAAGAATATTTGGGAAAGGCCAAGAAACAGAGACAAAGACTCTGGGTATTGATAGCCTTAGTCAGTGGTCCACCTGAACTGAGTATGTACCATGAAGACTTGACGTTTCTTCTTTCAATGGAATCTTCTGTAATGTGTTAGGGTTAATTTGGAAAGAGTTCCAGAGCAAAGTCTGGTGCTCTTCTCTCTCATGAGTAGCATTGCTGAAAAATGATACAAAGGTTTATCTTTTGTCAAATGTCACAAGGAATGCAGTATCTTCCATATTTTTGTGTATTGGAATTTCTGATCCATTACATTTTTTGTAGGAGGATAAGAGGTTTTGCCAAGGAGATTTGGTAGATGTTTCCTAAATGACCGTGAATATTTAGGAAATATCTGGACATTGCTTTTGAGTGTTTGGCGTAGAAGAGTATGGAAAGATGATAATCCAAACTCTCCATCATAGACTTTTTGGTTCATCTGTATTTGTGTATGTGTATGTATGCAGATATGTAGAGAAAAACAACTTTGGGACAGTTTTGGAACAGAGAGAAAGAGAAAGAGAATACTGAAGCAGAGATGACTGTGCAGGGTGAGGGGTTGCAAAAAAGCCAATGGCAATCACAACTGCACAATCAAAGCCTTAACCCTTTTTTAGATCCTTGCACGTGCAGCATACATAAAAAACAGATGGGACTTCATACAGTCATGTTTGCCATCTTGACTTTTTTGACCCCCTGTAGCTTCTCCTGGACTGAAAGTATCTTGGCTTCTCCTCTCTAATATTCCAATAATGAAGCCTGAAAATTCCATTCTAGAAGCTCTGTTTTAATATTTGGAAATAAATATAAAGAGGCATTTCTAGTATTTTCCATTCCAGTTAGAAATGGGGAATGCACAGCAATATTTTAGATAATGAGGTACATATTTTACCTCCTCCCCCTTCCCCCCCAAAAGTAGTTTACAAAAGATAGCTGAGAACCTAGCAGGAGTTGGGCTCCATTTCTTAAATGTCTCTGTCAAGAATAAACTCATTTTCATCAGCAAAACATCACCAGGAGTAAATGGTTTGACTGCACTTAAATAAATAATATTCCTTTCACGATCCAACATTGTATGGTGCTAGACTGTCTTGAGATAAGGAGAAATTGAATTGGATTTCTGTCATTTTTATTGCTCACATGACAAGTGTAAATGTTCTGCTTCTTGTCTCCACAGCTGGTTAGCTTGCACAGATCCAAGGGACGTGGCGAGAATTGAAAGCAAAACTGTAATCGTGACTCCAGAGCAGCGAGACACCATCCCGATTCCCCAAAGCGGAGTGAGCCAGCTGGGACGCTGGATGTCGGAGGAAGACTTTGAGAAGGCCTTCAGTGTCAGATTCCCTGGGTGCATGGAAGGTAAAGTCACAAGAAAGAATTTCACAGTTAGAATTAAAATACAGCTGCTTCCTCCCCCGGTGTGATAGAAGAACATTCATTCAAGGATGTTCACATTTGTTTCATTTGTTCCATGGCTAAGCAGTCCTGTAAGTTTTTGAAGCATAACAAAAAAGAATGAATTCTATTAATAATGGAGTGAGTGTGAATGCCTTTATTATAATCATGTTTACCTCTGGAAAAACTATAGAATGATGGTTTATCTCCAGTTGTGTTTGGGTAGGCCTATAATGCACCAGTGCTAGCTCTCTTCAGGTTTCCTAGACTACCCAAAAGTCACATCTGGATTTGGACTGACAGCAATATGCCACTCATGAATCCAGTCACCTATTTCTTAAAAAGTGTATTTCATGAAGACTTGGATGGCCCAGACTGATCTGCAACAAAAAAGTTGCAGTGTGGAGTGCTGTTGTTCAGCTACCCTGTTTCCCTCCCTGATAGCCCCCCCCCCTTATTTTTTTCAAACATCCTCCCTCAAGGATGTTCCAAAACTTCTGCAAAATTTGAAATTTCCCCAATATTATTGATACATCCTCTTTGATGATCAAGTTCTCTCATCTACACTCTGAATTTCCTTAGTGAGGCCATGATCTCCATAAAGCTAGAATGAGCTTGCAGACTACACTTGTCTCCTAAACTTAAACCTGGAACAGCCTAAGGGTATCCTGCTGGAATATGGCATAAATTCACAGTAAAACATGGGCCAGAAGAGTAGTAATCAATAAATCCAATACACATTAAGTGGCAGAATGTTTGCTTAATTCTTCTGAATTTGGAATCTGGCCCTTAGATGCTGATTTTGCCAGCTGTTACTCGGTATTAAAATGATTTGTACCCAAGTTCTGTAAACAAACAAAACCTTCAACCACCCAGTAAAATACAAGAATGTTTTTAGGGAGGGAGAAATGGTGTAGAATGGGGGAGCAGCCTTCTTCAACCTGGTGCCCCCAGATGTGTTGAATCTGAACTCCCATGTTGGCTCAGAATGATGGGAGTCCAGTCCAGCTGCAGGCTATCTGACTGGGGAGGGCTGGTACAGAGACTCAATAGAGATTTACAATGTTGTTTTTAAACCTCTCCTCTGATTGTCTTTTGCAGGGCGCACCATGTATGTCATCCCATTCAGCATGGGACCCCTTGGTTCTCCTTTATCCAAGTTTGGGATTGAGCTGACTGACTCTCCTTACGTGGTGGCCAGCATGAGAATTATGACCCATATGGGAACATCTGTCCTAGAAGCTCTGGGCAATGGGGAATTTGTAAAATGCCTCCATTCAGTTGGGTGCCCTTTACCATTAAAAAGTAAGCTGTTCTTAGGCTAAAATGTACTTTGTTCATCCTCTCTTTCCCAAAAGATATTGTCTTTGTTAATAAATTTACTAAGCAGAATATTCAGAGTGCTGTAGTTTACAGAGTTGCCAAGAATAAGGGATGCTAAGTTGGGACTGGTTTGTCATTAAAGGCAACAAACCAGAAATTATTCATTAAAGAAAGAACCAACAAAGCAATCCTGGATATTTTGTCCTTCCAAATGGCTGATTATTTCTAACTTGGATGAGAAATTAAGTGCAGTCTGGTCCACTGTTTCCCATCACATCCCTTTCTCAAAGCACATATGAAGAATTAGCTTTTTTCAAAGGATGTGGTCTACTAAGAGCCACTGTAGTAGGGCTCAGTAGCAAATAGCTGTGCACTGTATTACAACTCAGCTTTAATTTACCAGACAGAAAAGATGGTATGTGGTTTAGAAAGGTGTATGGTAAAAATAGAAAAAGAAATAGATGTCACTTTTACCCAGCTGATCGATCAGAAGTAACAACTTCTCTTTTGCTTTTTGTAGAGCCTCTAGTAAATAACTGGCCATGCAACCCAGATTTGACGTTGATTGCTCACATCCCCGATCACAGAGAGATCATTTCTTTTGGAAGTGGCTACGGAGGAAACTCTCTTCTAGGAAAGAAGTGCTTTGCTCTCAGAATTGCCAGCAGGATTGCCAAGGAAGAGGGCTGGCTTGCAGAACATATGCTGGTGAGAAACGTTTTGATGACCAGATTATTTTCAATCCCAGTCAACTCACTAAGATATCAATCTGATGCCAGAGTGACTATAGTCCCATGAATGGAAGTTCCTGATTGTTTAGCTTCCCCTGGAACTCATCTCTGGACAAGTGTATGAGTATTAAAAAAAAAAAATGGAGAGGGATTTTCACTGAATTCTGTAAGGATGTTTTGATAGATAGGCATCCACTGGGGGAAAAAAAATCTGAAGAATTCGGATCAGCAAGTGTTTCTGACTTCAATAATGGAATAAAGAAAGCTGTCCTGGAGGATGGAGGTCTGACTAGAATGTTGATAAGGAAGACTACAAGCTCAGTTCAGTTACTCAGAATAAATACCTACACTCAGAAAGTTATATTCCCTAAGTGTGTTCTACATACTTGGCTCAGGATGTCCAATTCTGGAATTCTAGTAAAAAAAAACCATGTAAAGCCTGCAAGTCTGAAAATTATGCTGAGATGCTGTGCTCACAGTAAAACCAAGGTAATTTCTTCACTGATGACCAATAGTATCTTCCAGAGTCATTCAGCTATCTTGCCAAAATAACAATAATGAGGATAGGCTTTGTCTCAATGGCTGAGTGATGCTTTGCAGATGCTGTAAGTTACTAGCTGGGAAATTATCTAAATCAAGACATGGGTTGTATGAGGAGCAAAATACTTAAATATGGAAAATCCATGTATAGCAACCAGAAGAATGGATCAGGCAGTGTGAGATAAAATTTGTCATTCTGTGTCCATCTGATTCTACTTCAGACGGCTGTTATGAAGATAAAGCAGTAGTCTGTGAATGCTTTGGGTAGCATTAAAAATACAATTTTAATCAGATGTATTTATGTGTGAGCCACCCAGAGTCATTGAGAGTCAGGCGGCATACAAGTTTGTTTATTATTTATTTATAACATTTATGTACTGCTTCCCATCTCAAAGTGGGTTTTTCTCAAATTGAGAAAAAGATAGGCACTCTGCGGAAAATGTATGTATATCTATACAATTTTAGTACAGTGTAAACTATAATCTTACATTGCCTGAACTATATTCCATGTGCAACCAGCATAATTGAAATCACATACACATTCAGAGTAATGACAGGTTTGGAAGTTGCCATTATTAACACTTCATAGATCTTACTGTTTTTGCTTGGTGCTGCCTGGTGAGTTTTGAGAGAGTGGAAAAAAAGGTTGCTTGTGTTTTTAAACAGATTCTAGGTATCACAAATCCAAGAGGTGAAAAGAAATACTTTGCTGCGGCTTTTCCTAGCGCATGTGGAAAAACGAACCTGGCCATGATGAATCCAACTCTGCCAGGGTGGAAAATTGAATGTGTTGGAGACGATATCGCTTGGATGAAATTTGATGACAAAGGTAACTTACTCAGAACTCAGTTGGGAGTTTAGCCTTGGAAGTTGATGGCCCAAAGCTGCCTAGATTTAATGGTGGTAGATTCAGATCAGCAGTTCAGCCATTCCAGAAGTGATTGTTTGCTGGTTCGTCTTCCTTTTTCCTGGCTCTCTTAATGTTTCTTAATATTGAAGTCAGTATGAGTTTGCAGTTGGGCGCCATTCTTGTTATTCTTAAACAGGTTCAATCTCATGTATTAGCAAAACAGTCTTTTAGAACATCCAGAGCTGAACTGAACAAATATAATTACATATTGAGCTCATCATGGGAGGAAATCAGCTGAGGAGGATAGTAGTAGCTCAAAAATAAGTTGAAAATTGTTGTAGGTGGTACACAAAAGTAGTCTTGGGGAAAATAAAATAAAGTATAGCATGTTTTTGGATCTAGCTTAGGAGAAGGTATTACCACTGTGGCAAATACTGCTTCAGCCCCATTGAGCTCTCACTTTTTACTTTACAATTATAGCATAAAATCTTTATCAACAGGGTTACTCCAATTTCTGTGTCCTTCAAACTTACCATTCTTTACAGATATAATTCTAAATATAATGTAAATATGTACCTTACAAATATAATTCTATTGAATGTAAATATGTATTTGTCCTTCTCTGTAAAGGCAGGCTGTTTTCTATCTTTGTGGGACACAGATACTTTGACAGAATGATTAGTGGAAGTTACTTACAATACAGAAGGTCAAGAACTATTGATTTAGGGATCCTTTGCTCTGAGAACACTCAAGACCCACATGATAGAAGATCAAAACTGTACTTGATCCCACGTTCTGGAAATAACAATCCTTTATTTCTAAAACATATTTAAAATATTTTAAATGTGTTAGTATCCTGTTTGGAAATAAACTGATGATCATGCAAACAAATGGTTTTACAACTGGAAAGGGGTTGCCCTAAATGGCAGCCCAGGACAATTGCAAATACATACATTTTAATCATCTTGCATTTTTAAGATACCCATATGGGGTAGAAACAAATGATACATCTCACATGTATAGTTACCCTTCCAAACTTTGCATTCTCCAAAGAATCACATGTACAGTATATGGAAATGGCATGAGTTGTTTCATATTTGAAAATTCTTTGGAAAAAACTGCGTATGTATAGGAATCTCTATCATTTTCAAAAGAATATCTTGGTGATTGGTGTTTTGGGGAAAACCCTCTCTGTTTCAGTTAGGTGGGATACTTCATTCTTCAATATTTTTTCCTTCCTATCACTTGTGTTGTTGTTCCAAGAAGGGAAAAAGTAATGATTAATGTGTACACATCTGAGAAAGGCATCTGGGCGCACTATTTATTTATTGCATTTATATCCAGTGGCAATCAAAATCGACTTTGCAGTTTGCATGATATAAGGCAACACTAAAACATCCATGGCATAAATTAAAAACTTCTAAAACAAAATTATTTCATAAGACACACCCATTTACCAGTAAAAATAAATGGATGGCATGTTCTAAGCTAGAAGGCTTTACAAAATACAGTAATTCAGTTTTCAGTGTCTTCCTGAAAGCCATCAGGAAGGGGGGCAGTTCAATTTCAACTGGGAGATTATTCCAGAGGGTGGCACTGTTACTGACTCAGTTTCCTTTGCCTCTCATAAGTAGGGACAATAAGCAGTTTTTCCTGCAATGACCTTATAAGTCAAGCCAGTTTTAGTTGGAGTAAATGGTTCTGCAGATACCCAGATGCCAACTCATGGTCCCGAGAACAATTGTTCTTCAAGGGTTTTCTCCAGTGTTCTGGATTTCTTTATAGAATGAGAGGTGATGAAGGATGTGGCAAGATGTGGCAAGGCCTTGAAGAATATGAGACTGAGTTGATTACAAAATGGGAGAATATTTACCATCAGTTCCTTGGAATATATTATGTATTTATGAACACTGTTTTTATTGTATTTTAATTGGCTTTTATTCTTATTTTTATTGTAAACCACCCAGAATTGCTTTCTGAGTGAGATGGGCAGTGACTAAATTTGAAATATAAATAAATTCTCCCGGGGAGAATATGGTAGCAATTGGAGGGGTGGTGTAGGGGATAGCACATTTTGTGAATGCAGGTGCTACCATTAAGTGAAGGAGAGGAAGAATCCTAAATGATCATTTGAGGTGCACATGATATTTCAACTTAGGTCATTTCAAAGTTAGGGTTGGCTTTCCTCATGCTGACACTATCCTTCCATGCTGGCTTAGAATTTTGGGAGCTGTAATCTCAGTTCTACCAGAGAGTGCCAGATGGAATGCAAAAATAATCATCATAGGTGAAAAAATGGTAAAGTTACAGTAGAGTTGAGTAAAGACTGGGTTGATGAATGTTCAGAGGGAGGAGAATGTGCCAAGTGATGAATAGGCAGAAGGAGGAGGAGATAATGATAATAGAGAAGATCTCCACTGTTTCCCTGGCATCTTAGCCACCTTATGAATGATATCTGAAGGTAACATCCTACCTAATGTCTCCTAGGTAACTTAAGAGCCATCAATCCAGAGAATGGCTTTTTTGGAGTTGCTCCTGGGACATCTGTGAAAACAAATCCCAATGCTATGAAGACAATAAAAAAGAATACCATCTTCACCAATGTAGGAGAAACTAGTGATGGAGGTGTATATTGGGAAGGTATTGATCAAGAGCTTCCACCAGGAGTCACACTCTTGTCTTGGAAAAAGAAAAAATGGACTGACAAGAATGGTATGAAGAAGATCTACTCTTCCTACTCTCTCTATTATTTAGGCTGCATTTTTGATTACTGTAATGATGGAAGTGTGATATACTATATATTTGTCTGAATATATTTGTACAGGGGAGCCTTGTGCTCATCCCAATTCCCGATTCTGCACTCCTGCTAGCCAATGTCCTATAATCGATCCTGCCTGGGAAAATCCAGAAGGAGTGCCAATTGAGGGCATCATATTTGGAGGACGGAGACCTGAAGGTAAGAACTGCAAACTATGATAATGGCTTCTTCAGCTTAAAGAAGTATTGAAAGCAATTCAGTGTTTTTTATGTAAATTAGGTTGTTTGAAAAACTAGCTTTGATAAATACTAGGGACAAATTACATTAAGGAAGAGAGAAGAAGAGAGAAAATAACAGAAGTGGTTCACAGAAGAAGACCATCACTTCTTTCCTGTACCTCAGAGAACTGGATATAGAGTAATTGTCTAAAATTACAGGGAGTCAGATTCCAGTTAAATATTGCAAAACAAATTAACAATAAGGGTGGCTTGATAGTAGGTTAATAACAGTCCATTTCCTCATTAGTGACTTATGGCATCTTCATATTATCAACCCAACCACAATTGAAGTTATATGAAACCTGTCCTCATTACTATTATTTTAGCTCAATGATAATTGGATGACTCTAGAAGATGTATGGGGAAATGACCTGAGAGAGAAGGTGGGTCCCCCTTTTCTGGATATCTTCATGCAGAACTGGACACCCATCTCTCAGAGATGCCTTAATTTGAATTCCTTCTTTGAACAGAGCGGTTGGATTCAGTGGCTTCAATTGCCTTTTCTGAGCCCATGATTCTAGGCAACCTGTAATTTTTTTGAAGTCAACAAGATTGCTGCAGAAGAGAAGGTTATTTCTTAACAGAATGCCTGATACAGTAGGAGTTGCAGTCCCAACACATCTACAGGGCACCACATTGGGCCAGCTGGCTTATAATGTCTAGCTGCAGTTCATTTGCAAGCCACAATAGCTTTCATGATACACATAGAGTAGTTCTAAACAGCCTTTGATCAGAGAAAGTGGCATTTTCCTGCCATTCACAACCACTGAACTCTCTTCCCACCCCAATCATTACTCAGCAGTACCTTTGCAGAGGCAAAGGCTATAGCTAACATAAATCTCCTTTCCTGACTCTTTGTACCTTAAGATAGATAGAACTGTTTACATTCTGAATAGATTAGATAAGCCACAGGGAGGATGGCTATGCACTGAACCCAGATTTACAAATGCTGGTGAATGTATGCCAGCCGCTGCAGTGATCTAAAGCAGTAAACTCAATTATGTGCAGCACCACTAACCTTTAAATATTCCAACCATCCTGTTTTCTCCAGGTGTGCCTCTAGTTTATGAGGCTCTTAACTGGCAGCACGGAGTATTCATTGGTGCAACAATGAGATCGGAAGCAACAGCCGCTGCTGAATATAAAGGTAAGTCAACGTGAAATAACGCCTTGGCATTTAAACTGCAGGGCTCATCGTTTTCACCTAGAAATTCTGAGAGTTCCAAAGACTGACCTACCTTCCTTCCTTCCTTCCTTCCTTCCTTCCTTCCTTCCTTCCTTCCTTCCT